TGCGTGTATGTGTTTGTATATATATATATATATATATATATGTGAGTGTGTATTTGTATTTATATATATATCTATATGTGTGTGTGTTTATGTGTGTGTATACATACACACACACACATATATATATATAATATATATAGACATATGTTCATATATACATACATGTACATATGGATCTAAATACACATATACATATTTCATATCACATATATATGTACGAATGCATATACATTATAATTATTTGTGTCGATTGTATATGGATGAATTTGCTGCGTCTGATTTGTGTGATGTGTACTTGTATATGTGTATATGAGAGAGTGTGTGTGTGCGTGTGTGTACACGCACGTATGAGTGTGAGTATGTGTACACGCACGTATGAGTGTGAGTGTCCAAAAAACTGTAGCAGGCAAAATAGTTTTCTAAGAAAGAACGATCAACGAGGTCCCTCGGTTTTGAAGTTTTCGTTGACATATACCAATCGTTTAATGTTATCCATGAGTAACAGAGAAAAGGGTCATTTTTTTGTTACTGAAATATAGTGCTCGTTGATTTATTGATAATTTAGTTTATTCACGTCTCGTTGATTAAATTTATAATTTACTATGTTCTCGTTACCCCTTGAGGGCAACAGTGGTGGTGCCATTGAAGAACGAATCTATATCATCCATTGTAGGCTGTTTTTTCTTCCGCCTGATCAGACGATTAAGATATGACTTAGCAGTAACATATAGAGTGCTTTGTACTTTATTCAGCACATGTGTTGTGGCGAGCCCCCCCGCAGATGAAGACTTCCTAGTAGCCATTTTATAATTTTCTACAGATCCATTATAAAACAAATGCTGTACAGCGTTTGAGGCAACAGCTGTGGATTTCTTGGATAACTTCTTCCTATTGGATTCCCGTCGAGAATTTCGCTTGACTGACCATGTGCTGCGCTCCTTGTGTGCTGTCATCCCTAACGGCGGTGTGCAAGCTGCACAAGTGATACTCTCACTATCGATTGTGCCTGCGTGTAGAGTCTCGTCAATAATATCCCGAACGATTGACGCCATACTCTCATTACTAAGATCTACAGAGTCAATTACATCGTATTCCTCGCTTAGATCCAAGTCGTAGTATTGGGAGTCATCATCAGAATTCTCGGTGGTATTTCTAGCAGCGTATCTACCCTTATTTACAGGTGTAATTATGATTTCTGTTGCGTCAGATAACGTCCTAGCCATCGTGATAGAAGTTTGTGTCGAGAATTTCTTGTTTCCGATTGTCAAGGTAAGGTTGATTGTTGGTAATAAGATAGCCACGTATATATATGGTGCTAAATATAGTTGAACATTTACAAGCTACCGATGAAGGATGTCGTGTCTATCAACGATGTAACGTTGTGCAGTGGATGATCAAATATTTTTATTATTATATATATATATAATTATTTTGAGTGTGTTTTGTTTTGTTTTTTATTTAAAACAAAAACAAACAATAAAATAAAAGAGAAACAAACTTGCGACACGGCCGAGGATTCGTGGCCCGTTCGTAAAACCGCCCTCCGTCATTCTTCCCCCTCCTCCTCTCTCCCTCTTTTTTTTTTAAATGTCGCCTTGTTGCCTTTTGCTGTGCGTTGTTTTTTCTTTTGCTATTGATATTGGTTTTTTTACAAAACAACAAAACAAAATTCTAAAAAAAAATCTTGTTATGGGACTGATCACTGACTCCTGAGTCTGACCAGGGACTATTGACTCTCTCTCTTGCGATTCGTCATTTTCTTTTACACACAATTTTTATGAAGAACTGTGGAGTGCGGACTGCGGACTACGGGCTAGGAAGGGAGTCTGCAGTTCCTCTGCAACTCAGTCTGCCTAGTGCCCACAGTCAAAATATTTTAAAACGAATGCATTGTCCATTGTCCATTGTCATACTATCCACTATCCCAGCCTAGCAGGGCCATAGGCCATGGCCCAAGGGGCATTTGGACATGAAGTCTCAACTCTCAAGTCTCAACTCACAACAACAGACTCAAGAAATCTGGGGACCCGGGCCCTATGCACCCCACCATACCGCGTACGTCCACCCTCAAACAGCGCCAAATTAATAGGAAATAACGACGAGGACGAGAGCTTTCGGTTGAAGTCAGCAGCGAATAAGTAGAATAGGTTTTGCCAATACTTATATAATGACGTGGATTCATTTGTTCTTGTTTTTATGTTTTTTGTTTTTATTGCCGCTGTCGTGTATTATTTTAACGATAGATAGTTTGTTTTACTTCATTTTTTTTACTTCTTACTCTCTGCCTCACTGCTGGTGTTGTGAATGGGCCCAGCAGGAGTCCGGACTCCTGGACTCTTGGATCCTGGCCGCAGGCACCCCTCTTGGCACTTGGTCTGATGAGTAAGACTAACTCACTAAGACCCTCGTTAATAGTGCCCAGGGCCCCAGGGCCACACTATTAGTAGAGAGGAGCAGAGGCCCAGAGTGTTTTACGATCCCTGGAATCTAATTTTTAATTTTTAGAAAAAACAAAAATAAACTCTGCGGGCCAGTGGGAGACTCACGTCACCACTGGTACTTCGTCTCGCGCGTTCTCGCTGTATGGCCCGAAGGTACAGTCGCACCAAAGGACGACGAGACTTTTCAGCAAAATCACGGCCGTCGGACTTTTAATGTAATATTATTTGAGTCGCCTGGTCCGGCCCTTCCGGTAAATAGCGGTTCGTTTAGTCTATGAGAGAGGAGGTTTATTCACGTGCACAAACTTCAAATTTGACGCCATATTTTGACCCATTTTTACGTACTGTACTTACGTTTATAAATATACCACTCTATAAACATATACGTTTAACGTTTTTCTTAGGCCCAGGCCCCAAGAAGAGGGTTCGCCGACACTTCGCTATCGTATATATTTTAATGTAAAAAAAACTACAATTACCGGCCCTCGCTCAGACAGTCCCGTACACAGTACAAACTCACACACAGTCACAGTAGCAGTCACACAGTCACACACAGGCTCGCGCGCAGAGAGAGAGTCTAGAGTCTAGAGTCTGGAGTCTGGAGTCTGGACTCTGGACTCCTGGACTCTGGAGTCTGGAGTCTCTGGACTCTCTCTGTGCGGTGGCGGCCTGGCGGGAGAAAGATAAAGAGAAGTCGAAAACCCACTTTGAGTTTGGGTAAGGAAAAAGAATATGGGTATGTAAAACGTTCCCCTATTTTTTTTTTGAATATATATATATATATACAGTCAAACCTCTTTAACTGTCCAGGGTCCGTCCTGAGCCAAAAAGTGGACACTCAAAAACCCTCAAAGGTAGACAGGCTCTGGGGCAAGTACATCTATACGTTCAGGCGCTGATGATGACCAAAGCTCGAGCGTTTTCCAGTTACTATAAAATATCTATGTACTAGGGGGGTGTCTACCCATCGGTGAATATCAAAAAGTGTGGAGAATAACTACGAGACACCTGATCCTGAAGGGACACCGGATCCCCGCGGAGCGGGTATCGAAGATGCCTTTAGGAGGGTCCCTCTACCATCCGAAAGGAGGGCTTTTTATCTTAGAGCCATCCTTCCTGATGGAGCCCTCTAACATATCCCTCTCCCCCCTCTGTCGGCGTATTTTATGTACACACTAGTCGTCCTAGGGGAGATAGGCTGAGAAGAGTATAAGTAGGGACCATAGAGAGAATAAAGTGGTGTACTAGGTTATAAGTTAGGGTATGTTAATAGAGTGATTGAGGATAGAGTATCCCTCGGGATGGACGATCCATCCCTACGGATAAGCTTTTATACCATGATGGCGATAGAAACGGTTTAAAGTTCAATTTCTATTACATATACGGTCCTGTTGATTTTATGCAGGTGCTATTTCTAGGTTCGCAGATTTGTCCCACATGCTCGCGGCGAATTTGACCTGCCAATAATTGTTCTGGGGGTCAGGTCTATTGGGCAGGTAGTATTACTTTCTTCCTCGTATGTTGGCATGATGTTTGTTCACCACTGAAAACTAACTGGCTTCAGGCATATATAGCTATAATTGCGTGGAATATTGTTGAACTTGTGTATACTGTGTAGTCTGTAGGCTCATCCTGCAGGCCTGCCGCAATTTGTGTGTGTGTTTGTGTAAACTCACTAAACTATAAACGCCACGGTATGGTAACTGTAAAAGTTGTTGGAAAAATGTGCTGTCAGTTGGAAGTAGGAAATGCGTCATGACTACATTTCAATGCTAGTTTATGATCGATCGTAACAGCTATTATAGCCCATTTCTTGATTTTTAGGTGTATATTCGAAGTGCAATTTTGGGGGTTCTGTTTAAATTAGCGTTGAACCCGTTCAAAAAAAGGTTAATATCACACACATGAAAATAAACATTAACGTTCAATTTTTAATCCGTACACTCATACCGTATTGAGCTTGGCGCTGACCTGTGGCCTGTGGGACATTATCAGAGCAAAGCACTCACTTCGACTTTTCCTTGAGAATCCTGCCGCCAATCAAATCGTATATCTACTCAATTTCGAGCCTACAAGTCCATTCAACATATATCGTCATCTGCCAACCTCCAGCTCATATTACTCCTCACTTCGGTTTTCAAAGCACCGACTTTGTAATCAAGAATCTCCTCTACCCTCCTGTCTTCCACACTCTTGCAGACTTTTCAAATGACAAATCCACACATTCATCAATATCTGTCAGACCCATTTTAGCACATGCAGCAAACTGAGCACCCTCTACCGACACAGGCTTTGGCCCTTCCAGGTACCGTAGATCCATATCAAACGATCGTACATACATAACATTCCTGTACCGTCTTTTACCCACCGGATCTGACGTGAACTCTACCTGATGAACCACAACAATTAAAGGCTGACGATCTATCTCTACTATAAGCACCTCGTACGATCTCCTAATCAAACCCGCGGACGTCAAAAACCCATATGCTAGCGCTATCAATTCTTTATCTGTCGGAGAAAAAATTACATGGAAAGCACAAAGCCCACAGGAAGCTTTTCTCCATCTCTTCTCACACACAAACAAACACCTATACCTGAATCCGACGCATCTCTCTGCAACCTGAGTTGCTCTTCTTGTCTGGGTTCTACCAAGACTGTCTTCGCCTCCAATATCTTCCGAGCCGACTGAAAAGCCTTCTCCTGCTCAGGACCCCACTGGAACCGTACCTTCTTCTTAGTCAAATCACTAATCGGAGCCAACCCATTTGAGAAATTCGGAACGAATCTTGCCCACCCTCCAAAACGCTGATACCACGACCTGACTTCATATCTAATAACGGCTGAAGATTTCCTTCACTTATCATCGAACCCTTATCATCACGACTATAGGATCTTCTCGATACGCAAAATTACATTTAGACAGCAGCAACTGTATCACTTTTGCCTCAAAGCGCCTGATCATCTTCACAATTCCATCTCAATGCTCAGCTGGATCATCCGAAGCTAACGCAGTATCATCAATGTACGTCTTAATTTCTTTAATTCCTTCTAATGTCTCATCCATTATTTATTGAAACACAAATTATGCTTCCTTCAAACCAAACGACATCCCAATAATTTCAAAAATGGCAAGTATGTATGATACAATGTATGAACATATGGTATGGCTCTCATAGTCGCCGTAGTGGTTCAGGAAAGATTGATGGGAAGAAGTGGTCAGTAAATTCCCGTTTGAAGCTTGGGCCAAGTGAGTCGACAATGGAAGATATGTGCTGGGTCAATTCGGACCGGTGTTGACAAAATACTGTTCCTATCGAATGTTCCATATATTCGCTTGCTGACCTACTAAGTAGAGTACCCACCTCTGTGGTACGGATCGGGTCTGCGCCGTGTAGTGCCGCCGTTAAAAATGCAGTGACCCCTCGACTACCAGGCTTTATCATTAACTGCCCAAAACCGTTTCCAGCATCCACATTAGTTTTTAACTTGCGCTCCTTAACTGTTGCCAGAAACTCATCTTCTGTTGGTATCGGATATTTACCCGAATTTAGCTGAAAATTCGTACGCATATAATTTATGCATATCCTCCAATCCTTGGGTTCCTCATAACTGGGATTACTACCCTGCGCTTTAGGCACAAGTTTCGGCACTGTAGGCCAATCCGTATCCTGCACTCTCTCTATGAACCGAGCCTCAAGCAATAGTTGCACCTTCTTCATCATTTCTATAAGTCGCACATCTTTCTCCGCATATACTTGTCTCAAAAAACCCCTAAACCCTAAGAACCCTTCTCTCTTACCACCTCAACTGGAAAAAGTGTATGCTTAGTCACCCCTTGCTTAGTGAGTACTGCCCCAATCTATCCATACCCTTTCAATGCACGTCTACCTAACAACATACCCGCATTCTCCATAACCCTCTTATTGTAAAGTGGACAATTA